CAACAAAGTAACGGTGGAGCAAATGAACCGTTCGTTAGGGAGAAAATACGCATGGATAATGCAGCGTGGTCGCAATTTCCGTCACTCGGTAGCCATCGGAGGTCTACGAGAGGTTGCTTTTCACCCGATTGATGTCGCATCCGATCTTCCCTTCATCGCCGTCCAACTGGAAGGCCCACTCAACATAGCGGTTGCCTGCGCTTACCTGCCATGCGGCCGGTTGAATGGCCTCAATAGCAGAATAAAGAGTGCCATTGGCAAACTTCCAGAACCGCGAATCCTCGTCGGGGACATGAACGGGCATCATCCCAACTGGGGATGTCCGAGACCGAACAGCCGTGGGTCCACTCTAGCTGACCTCTTCGAAAGCGAAGACCTCGTCGTACTCAATGACGGGGCACCCACCTTTTTCAATGGACGTCATGCCACAGCTATCGACCTAACGAAGACAATTCTCGAAGCAGCCGTCGCTTCAGTACCTAAGACCAGCAGCATTCCCGGACGAAAAGCTCTCCGAAGGTGGTCGGAAGAAACCAAGGCAGCGGTTAAGGCCCGACGGAAGGCCCTCTGTAAATTGAGAAGAACGAGACCAGACGATCCTGGCAGGGATGGCATCCTCGAACGTTATCGCGAACTGCACATCCAATGCAGGCAAACGATCCGAAGTGCCAAGCAGGAGAGTTGGACGAACTTCCTCGACAGTATTGATGCTTCCCAGTTCTCGGCAGATCTTTGGAGCCGTGTAAACGCACTTAGTTGTAAAAGACGTTCGGCCCCGCTGCAGGTGCAGTCCGGAGGCATCACCGTATCCGAGCCAATAGCCGTTGCTGATGAGCTAGGCAAATACTTCGCGGAGCTTTCGGCTATCCCCGGATATAGCGAAAATTTTCGTCGCCGCAACAATGCCACACCGGCCTCCATAGGCAATTTCCACGTACCCACCGACAACGATAACACCAGGATGAATGGGATTTTTTCGTGGGAGGAATTACAATTCGCACTCAGCAAGAGCAAGGGCAAATCGGCGGGTCCTGACGAACTCGGGTACCCCCTATTAACGCACCTACCGATTGAAGGCCAAGTCCGTATGTTTGACCTCTTCAATGAACTTTGGACCACCGACTCCTATCCAGCATCGTGGTCATCCCAATTCCGAAGACAAACGAAACCACGAAGGACGCGACGAAATTCCGGCCCATCGCCCTCACTTCCTGCATGAGCAAGGTTTTCGAGCGGATGGTGAACCGCAGGCTGAAGACATTCCTGGAGACCAACAACTTGCTGCGGCACCTCGACCTATTTCGCCACACTGGGAGACGTGCTGAGAGACGCCTTTGACCTGGGGCACCACACCGAAATTGTCTCGCTGGACATCTCCAAGGCATTCAATAGAACCTGGACTCCGGCCGCGCTTGCCAAACTCGTCAGTTGGGGACTCAAGGGACACATTGTCCATTTTGTTCGGAATTTTCTCACCGACCGCACTTTCCGTGTCGCCATCGGAAATATCAAATCCAGCAGCTTTTAGGAGGAAGCAGGGGTCCCCCAGGGATCTGTGATCTCTGTTACGCTTTTCCTTATCGCAATGAACGGAATCTTCAGCCAGTTGCCAAATAACGTACGCATCTTTGTGTACGCCGACGATGTGCTCATCGTGGTAACCGGGCCCACCACATCACGCACCAGGAACCTCACGCAAGCTGCGGTCACAGCCTGCGTAAAATGGGCCTGTTAGCAATAAATACGAACACCCAGGATTAACAATATTACAGTTTCAATCTCAATCTCAAATCCAAACCGCTCAAACTACGACTCAACCAAACGCGAATAAGACTTCCTCGCAAACTCCTCCCGTCGTAGGTCAACAGTTAGCCACTGGTTCGCTCAGTTATTGCTCCACCTCCTTGGCTACCAACTTTCATCGAATTCCATCGACTACCGTTCCGATTCAAATTTCGGACACTTTCATTTTTAATTAAATATTACATCCAGTTAGAAACAAAGTAATAATGTTAGATGATCGTGGAGGGCACTAGTCAAAAAAATTTAAAATTTACAAGACATGTGGATCATATTCGACCGAGATAATCAACTTTTAAAAGTGTCCGAAATTCGAGTTTAAGTGTCCGAAATTTGAATCGGCACGGTGTGTTGCTGCAATGGGCTCTCGTAAAGGTCATCGGCTCTTCTAGGAACATTATGTGGGCTAGAGCGTTGCTCGATCCTGCCTCACAACTGAACATTCTATCGGAGAACTTAGCTCAACGATTGCAGCTGCCAAGGGTCAAGGATTATCACACCATCGGAGGTATCGGACAGTCTACCATTGTGTCTACCCACTCCATCACAGCCGAGATCCAGTCACATTGCTGCAGCTACCGTACACAGCTGAAGTTTCACGGGCTGAGTTCCGTGACACGGGAGCTGCCTTAAACCAACATTGAAGTCAAGGAGTGACATTGGCCTACTGACATCGTGCTTGCTGATCCACAATTCAAGGAGTGGATAGCTACTATGATCTTCTTCTCGATGGATTCATCCGCCTCGGTGCGCGACAACCAGTGCTGCAAAATACTTTGCTGGGATGGGTTGTTTCGGGCAGGGTTGGGGTCAGCTGGCCCGATCCGGAGATATTTAGTGTCGTCCACGTGTGTACGCAAGATTTCGATGAGAAACTATCCAGATTTTGGGAGTTAGAAGCTTGTCAGTTCGGTAGTACCATGTCAGTAGAAGAATCTACTTGCGAGGCTCACTTTGTCGCAACGACAACGAGAGACGCCTCTAGTCGATTCATTATAGCACTTCCGATAAAGCCGTCCGTTATATCCCTGATGGGGAAACTCTTACGATATCGCCAAACGCCGCTTTCTGTCGCTGGAGCGCCGTTTACAAGCCAACCCTCAACTCAAATCTGCGTACGCGGCTTTTATCGAAGAATACCGTCTACTTGGACACATGAAAGAGATTACCGATATCAATCTACCAACCCAGTATACTCCCTACTATTTTCCGCACCATTGTATTGAACGTCCGGATAGCTTGACCACCAAGCTTCGCGTAGTGTTCGACGCCTCTTGCGTCACTGATACTGGCATTTCCCTGAATCACACGCTTATGGTAGGGCCAGTGGTGCAAGATGATCTTGTATCCCTAATTCTGCGTTGGCGAATTCATCGGTACGTCATTATTGCTGACATAGAAAAAATGTACCGTCAAATCCTGATGAATCCTGCCTACCAATGTCTTCAGAGGATACTCTGGCGAGAGTATCCTTCGGAGCCTATTCTAATCTTCGAGCTGACGACGGTGACTTATGGAACCTCTTCGGCACCATATCTGGCCACTCAATGCTTGTACGAGCTCTCCAAGGTGGGTCATCAGTCGAACCCTTATGCCGCGTTGTAGGTAAAGACTTCTACATGGATGATCTGCTTACGGGATGTAACGATGTCGAGCCGGAAAGATCTTGTGTACCCAACTACTACAGCTTTTGGGATCTGCTGGATTCCAATTACGAAAATGGTCATCGAACTCTCCAGAGATTCTTGCCCACATTCCTCAACCGCTGCGAGATGAACGCAACGTCCTAGGATTAGATCTTGGAGCTTCGATCAAAACGCTAGGTCTTAGGTGGGAACCCGCATCGGATGTCCTTGGCTTCCACGTACCCAAATAGAAGGAAAACCCCCACATTACCAAACGGATTGTCGTTTCCGATACTGCCAGCCTGTTTGACCCTCCCGGATTACTAGGACCCATCATAGTAGTCGAAAAAATGTTCGTGCAGGAACTATGGCGAAGCAATCGATCCTGGGACGATCCCCTAGAAGACGAAATCCAGCAAAGATGGTTGCTGTTTCGGTCTCAGCTTGCAGTAATCGAAACGATCACCGTTCCACGCTGGGTTATTCCGATTGTCAACCCCACCCACATCAAACTTCACGGTTTTTGTGATGCCTCAGAACGGGCCTACGGGGCATGTATCTATTTACGTGCCGTATCCAGCAATGGAGACACCTCGGTTCGACTTCTGACGTCAAAGTCGAAGCTCGCATCACTGGGAAATACCCCAAAGCAAAAAAAAAATCTGTTTAGCTCGACTGGAGCTATCATCGGCACTATTATTAAGCCACTTGTTCCAAAGGGTCCAGAAAGCATTGAACATCTCCATGAAGTGTTTTTTCTGGTCTGATTCTATGATAGTGCTTCATTGGATATCGGCGGCTCCGTCTTGTTGGAAAACTTTTGTTGCCAACAGGGTGTCGGAAATACAGCACCTGACCGCTGATGGGTTGTGGGCTCACGTGCCGGGAAGTAAGAACCCAGCAGATATCATATCCAGAGGAGGTTACGGGGGCGACCCCGGCGTAGTGGTTAACATCCATACCTCTCACGCCAAAGTCACGAGTTCAAATCTCACCCCGGACAAGTCACGAATGACCCAAGAGTGTTAAAGTGACTATAATACAAAAAAAAAAAAAAAAAAAAAAAATATATATCCAGAGGAATGTTGCCAGCAGAACTCAAAGACTGTGGTCCACCTTGGCTCAGTCAACCAAACCGGTTTTGACCGCCTCTAGTCCGCCTTACCTCTGAAACCTTCCCCGTTGAAGAACTCGAGGAACGTTCGATAGTACTTCCCATTCAAATCAGAGCTCCAAATCCCATCTTCGGCCTTCGTTCATCTTACGCGAAGCTGATCCCTCTAGTAGCATATCTCTTGAGATTTTGTCACAATTGCAAGCAACGGATCCATACCAGTGAATATTTACAACGAAGCACTGAAGGTCCTCGCTCGGATCGCTCAACAGGAGTCGTTGGAAGAAGATATGCAAGCCGTAGCAGCCTGTGGTGAAGTCAACCGTAACTCAAAATTGAAGACTCTGGCACCCATTTTAGACGATGGAGTTCTCAAGGTGGGTGGCCGTCTGCATAACGCCCTTGTTCCAGAAAACCGTAAGCACCCGATGATTCTTCTCGCAAACCATTTGTTCACGGAGATGGTAGTAACGTACTACCACCAGAAGCTTCTGCACGCTGGCCCACAGCTAATGATCGCTAGTCTTCGGGAACAGTATTGGCCACTGAGAGTACGCAACCTGGCGCGGAAAGTGGTGCAAAGCTGCCTAAAATGCTACCATTGCAAACCAACCGTCCAAGAGCAGCTGATGGGGGACCTTCCCAGCGAACGGGTGACGCTAACGTACCCGTTTTTAAAAACCGGCGTTGATCTTTGCGGTCCGCTTTTCTATCGTCACGGTGGCCGCAAGACATCTCCGGTGAAATGTTATGTCGCCATCTTCGTGTGCCTGGTCACAAAGGCGGTACACATCGAATTGGTTGCAAACTTAACTACAAATGCCTTCATATCTGCCATGAAACGGTTCATTGCACGACGCTCGAAGCCGGCAATTATCGAATGCGACAATTTCCAAGGAGCTTCCCGAGCACTGGAGCTTCCCAGCAGCACCAACATGCCATCGTTTCCTATTGCGTAGAAGAAGGAGTTCAGTTCAAGTTTATACCCGCTTGCTCCCCCAACTTCGGCGGCCTTTGGGAGGCTGCCGTAAAGTCATTTAAGAAACACCTCAAGTCAACCATCGGTACAACGGTCCTCTACAAGGATGAACTGAAGACGCTACTCGTCCAAATTGAGAGTTGTCTCAACTCCAGGCCACTCACACAACTGTCCACCGACCCTGAAGACCTTGAGGCTCTCACGTCAGGACATTTTTTAGTACATCGACCTTTGGTAGCTGTTGGGGAACCATCGTTTGAATCTGTGCCACAGAATCGGCTCGATCGCTACCAGCAGACGCAGGAATTTGTAAGAAGGATATGGAAAGGTTGGAGCACGGATTACCTTTCTGGTCTACTACCGCGTACTAAGTGGACTCGTCGGCGTGATAACCTTGCTGTTGGAACCTTAGTGCTACTGAAAGAAGAAAAACTGCCCCCATTGAGATGGTGCCTCGGTCGTGTCGTTCGAATTTTCCACGGCGATGACGGGAATGTTCGTGTAGTCTCGGTCAAGACGAATGATGGCGAATTCACCCGTGCAATTAGCAAGGTCTGCGTGCTTCCTATCCAGCAGTCAGCAAGTGCTGGTGATGATGATGTTCTCGCTACAATCTGGTCATCCGCTCCTATCTGTTTTCTGGGAGGCATCGTGAAATGCTGGCAAGCCTACTCGTCGAAGACACCCCAACTATCATGACGTCCACAAAACTCACCATGGTCGCAGAACATGCTCCAGGATACCATCGTGCACAACCGATTAGGTCCGAAGGTTCAACGGAAAATATGCTAACCATCAATGAGGACCGAAGTCCAGTACACCACTATGAAGACTGCTCCTGAGAAGGCTACCACCAATGAATGAAGAATCATGCGAAGAACGAAGCTGACGTCCAGCGAAAACAGATTACCATCCCGAGATCGAAGTAGATGTCAACATCCCGAAGATGCAATGTTGTCGTGTGGAGATCAACAACGATGCAACTCGTACCGACGTGTCACATGGTCGAACCGACGTGCTGGTAACCACGCCCAACCACCAACAGCGAGATCCGAAGACCAAGAGTGCCAGAACGACAGTTTGCAGAAGTTACATTCAACATAATGCAGCATTTCAAGTGAATTAGAATAATGAATTTCGCTGTCTCTTTAAAATCAAATTAACTGTAGATTAGGAATATTGAAAAACACACTTTTCAACAGAGGGCGGCTATGTTAGCAATAAATACGAACACCCAGGATTAAGAATATAACAGTTTGTTGGCAGAGTGTATACACTACCACGTAGCTCTCTTATCACCTATCCGCCTGATAGAGTGAGCGAAAGGATATCAATAGGCTTTTACAATTCGTTTCTAGGTCGTGTTTGCTATCAGACTCTGTGCAGATTATATAACCAGTATAGAATAGCCAGGCCAGTTCAGTTCAATAAAGATCACCAACCTAAGAGCACTTTTTCGCTAATAAACCAGTTTTCTAGTTTTCGAATCGGATACCGAGCCAATCTAGTTTCATTTCTTTTCGTACAGGGCCGAAGCAGCTGGTTTTCAGCTCTCAGCCAGGAAAAGCGTTAGATGCCACGTCTGCCCGTCACGATACAGGGTTAGCGGGGCTGCCATCAAGATTGCCGATCAAGCCATACCCGTTAAGAATTCCGTTTGGATCCTGGGTGTACTTGTTGACCGCACGCTTTCTTTCGTGCCCCACTTCAATCAGGTGAAGAAGGACTGTCGAAGCATATCCAGGCCCCATCGTTCCAACAATCGGGCAGTTCGCTTTCGAGTAGCGCAAGCTATCATCGATAGCCGGCTGTTGTACGGAACTGAGCTAACATGCTAACATCAACTCGGAGAAGCAGGTTGAGATTCTTGGCCCAACTTTCAACAGCAGCATCAGGATCATATCAGGCCTCCTACCTTCCACCCCCGCAGATTCGGCGTGTGTCGAAGCAGGGGTTCTACCTTTCCGTTACCGCATTATTAATGCCACCATCTACAAAGCCGCCTCTTTCGCCACCAAGACAGCAGGAAATGGCAGAATCTTCCTCCTCGATGAGGGGGATAGAATTCTGCAGACGATCGCCAGCATCGACCTCTCCCCGGTGGCTAGGATCCACTGGCACGGAGAGAAGATTTGGCTCTCTTCCAGTATCAGAGTCGATCATCGCATAAAGAACCGTTTCAAAGCAGGAGACAACTCCGTGGCCCTTCGTCGCACAGTAGGCGAGTTGACTAGATCTGATTACACCGAACATACACACCGGTACACCGATGGTTTCCGATCCAACACGGGCGTCCAACTCGCCAGCAACAGCCTTCCACCGCAGTGCTCCGTCTACTCGGCAGAAGCGGCCGCAATTTTCCTTGCGGCCACGTCACTAGCTAATCAACCGATTCTTATTTTGACAGATTCCTTCAGCACTATTCAGGAACTATGCTCAGCCACTCCCACCCACCCGTGGATTCAGGCTACCATAAAGTACGCCCCGAGCAGCACCGTTTTCGCATGGATACCCGGTCACTGCGGAATACCCGGAAACGAGGCGCCGATCAACTCGCTGGAACTGGACCGTCGGGTCCCAGATTCACGGATAAAGTTCCACTCCAAGATGTCCGACGATGGATAAAGGCAACCGTGCAGAAGGCTTGGACCGACCAGTGGTTCAGCACCCGAGAGTCTTTCATCCGGAAGATTAAGGGAACCACAGAGGCATGGACGGACCTCCGAACCCTACCGGATCAGTCCTTTCAAGTTTTTGGAACGTTCTTGGAACTCCTTGAAACTTGACATTTCTTGGAAGTTCTTGTTAAGTTAAGAATAAATCAAGATTAATTAAGTTAATTTGTGCAAGTGTTAAAGTTAATCACATATTAAGTAAAGGTAATTAAATAAAGTTAACTGAAATTAAGTAAAAGTTTTGTTAAAGATAACCCCAAGTTAAGTTACAATTAAGTCAGAGTAAAGTTAAAGTTTAGTTAAAGTTGAGTTAGAATTTAGTTAACGTGAAGTTAAAAATATGTTAAAGTTAAGTTAAAATCAAGATGAAGTTGAGCTAAAGTTAGGGTAAATGTTTGTTTAAGTTAAGATAAAATTTAGTTTGAGCTATGTTAAAGTTCAGAGTTGGTTGGAAATGCTATGTAAAATGAAGCTTTAGTGTGATAATTTATTAGCTAGAGAATGATCTTAGAAAAGGGTGAATAGATATTTCCGTTAGAGTACGGCAGTATGAAAATTGAATAGAAGAAGACGCACACTTTTTGCCTTTAGATTTGAATACATACTTCAAATCTCCGCGTACATCGTACGGATTAGGCAAAGAGTTTGCGTTTGACTTGCACTGTCACATTAATGGCCCTTCGCTCAATTTCAACTTCTATTCAATTTTCATACTGCCGCACTCTAACGGAACTATCTACCTTCCCTCTTCTAAGATCATTCTCTAGCTAATAAATTATCACACTAAAGCTTCATGTAGGATAGCATTTCCAATCAACTCTGAAAATCGCAAACTTTGCGTATGAAGTAACATCAAAACACTTTGAATGTATGTTGAAGTTATTTCCAGGGAACTTCAGGGAAAATTCAGTTCTTGGAACTTCTTGAAAGTTGTGAAAGCTTTTGGAATTTCTTAAATTTTCTTGGCACAAATTTAAATTTGAGTTAATCTTCAGTGAAAGTTAAGTTGAGGTTATGTTCAAGTTATTTCCCAGGAACGTCAGGGAGACTTATGTTCTTGGAAGTTTTTGAACATTAAGATAAAATTAAGTCACAGTTCACTTTAAACAGTTAAACTTTATTTGAGTTTAAAGTTAATGATATGTTAAAGTTAAGCTAAAGATTTATTAAAATTATGGTAAAATTAAGTAAACGGCAAGTTGAATTTAAGTTAAACTTAAAGTTTCGTTAAACTTTCGTTAAGATACGACAAAGTTAAGTTAAAGTATGATAAAAGTAAGAAATACAGAGAACTTCTTGAAAGTTCTTGCATCTTCTTGGTTTTTTTTTTTTGAAAGTATTTGGAAGTACTTGGAACTTCTTGAAACTTGATACTTCTTAGAAATTTTTGTTGAGTTAAGATTAACTCACAGTTAAATTAAATAAATTTGTTCAAGTGTGAAAGTTACGTTAAAGCTAATTACATGTTTAGTAAAGTTAATTTGTTAAATTTATGTTAGTTAAAATTATGTCAAAATTATGTTTTAAGTTTATTTAAGGTTTAGTGATGGTTTTAGTTAAAGTTGAGGTAAAGTTTTGTTAAAGTTAAGTTAAAGATATATTAAAATTAAGTTAAAATTAAGTTAAACATGCGTTAAAGTTAGGTTAAATGTTTGTTGAAGTTAAGATAAAATTCAGTTTAAGTTATGGTCAAGTTGTTTCCGGGAAACTTTCGGGAAAGTTTCAGAGAATTTCAGAGAAACTCAAGTTCTTGTAACCCCTTGGAAATTTGGAAAGCTTTTGGAATTTCTCGAATGTTCTTGGAACTTTTTGGAACTTCTTGAAAATTCTTACTAAGTTAAAATTAAGTCAATGTAAAGTTAATGTTAAGTTAAATTAAGGTTAAAGTTAAGTTAAAGTTAACTTAAACTTAGAGAAAAGTAAAGTTATTAATTAACGTTTAGTTAAAGTTAAGGTGAAGGTCGGCTCTAGACAAAATCAAGTTGAGCTTAAATGAAATCAAAGTTATGTTAAAGTTAAGTTAAGGTTGAAAAACAGATAAGTTAAGTTTATGTTAAATATATGTTAGGGCTAAGTAAAAGTTACTTAAAGTTAAGTGGAAGATAATTTGATGATTAGATGAAGTTTAGTTAAAGTGGATTTAAGTTCATTAGTTAAATCAAGTTGAATATATGTTAAAGTTAGTTAAACTAACGCTAAAGCTAAGATCAAGTAAGTTTAAATTTAAGTTAATGTTTAATTAAAGTAAATTTGCAGTAATTTTCAAGATATTATCAGGGAAGCTGCAATTCTTAATAGTTTTTGG